TGCGGGACTGAATTGTGTTACTGGTACACACTCCCGGTCTGTACCTCCCTCTCTATAACATGCGGGACTGAATTGTGTTACTGGTACACACTCCCGGTCTGTACCTCCCTCTCTATAACATGCGGGACTGAATTGTGTTACTGGTACACACTCCCGGTCTGTACCTCCCTCTCTATAACATGCGGGACTGAATTGTGTTACTGGTACACACTCCCGGTCTGTACCTCCCTCTCTATAACATGCGGGACTGAATTGTGTTACTGGTACACACTCCCGGTCTGTACCTCCCTCTCTATAACATGCGGGACTGAATTGTGTTACTGGTACACACTCCCGGTCTGTACCTCCCTCTCTATAACATGCGGGACTGAATTGTGTTACTGGTACACACTCCCGGTCTGTACCTCCCTCTCTATAACATGCGGGACTGAATTGTGTTACTGGTACACACTCCCGGTCTGTACCTCCCTCTCTATAACATGCGGGACTGAATTGTGTTACTGGTACACACTCCCGGTCTGTACCTCCCTCTCTATAACATGCGGGACTGAATTGTGTTACTGGTACACACTCCCGGTCTGTACCTCCCTCTCTATAACATGCGGGACTGAATTGTGTTACTGGTACACACTCCCGGTCTGTACCTCCCTCTCTATAACATGCGGGACTGAATTGTGTTACTGGTACACACTCCCGGTCTGTACCTCCCTCTCTATAACATGCGGGACTGAATTGTGTTACTGGTACACACTCCCGGTCTGTACCTCCCTCTCTATAACATGCGGGACTGAATTGTGTTACTGGTACACACTCCCGGTCTGTACCTCCCTCTCTATAACATGCGGGACTGAATTGTGTTACTGGTACACACTCCCGGTCTGTACCTCCCTCTCTATAACATGCGGGACTGAATTGTGTTACTGGTACACACTCCCGGTCTGTACCTCCCTCTCTATAACATGCGGGACTGAATTGTGTTACTGGTACACACTCCCGGTCTGTACCTCCCTCTCTATAACATGCGGGACTGAATTGTGTTACTGGTACACACTCCCGGTCTGTACCTCCCTCTCTATAACATGCGGGACTGAATTGTGTTACTGGTACACACTCCCGGTCTGTACCTCCCTCTCTATAACATGCGGGACTGAATTGTGTTACTGGTACACACTCCCGGTCTGTACCTCCCTCTCTATAACATGCGGGACTGAATTGTGTTACTGGTACACACTCCCGGTCTGTACCTCCCTCTCTATAACATGCGGGACTGAATTGTGTTACTGGTACACACTCCCGGTCTGTACCTCCCTCTCTATAACATGCGGGACTGAATTGTGTTACTGGTACACACTCCCGGTCTGTACCTCCCTCTCTATAACATGCGGGACTGAATTGTGTTACTGGTACACACTCCCGGTCTGTACCTCCCTCTCTATAACATGCGGGACTGAATTGTGTTACTGGTACACACTCCCGGTCTGTACCTCCCTCTCTATAACATGCGGGACTGAATTGTGTTACTGGTACACACTCCCGGTCTGTACCTCCCTCTCTATAACATGCGGGACTGAATTGTGTTACTGGTACACACTCCCGGTCTGTACCTCCCTCTCTATAACATGCGGGACTGAATTGTGTTACTGGTACACACTCCCGGTCTGTACCTCCCTCTCTATAACATGCGGGACTGAATTGTGTTACTGGTACACACTCCCGGTCTGTACCTCCCTCTCTATAACATGCGGGACTGAATTGTGTTACTGGTACACACTCCCGGTCTGTACCTCCCTCTCTATAACATGCGGGACTGAATTGTGTTACTGGTACACACTCCCGGTCTGTACCTCCCTCTCTATAACATGCGGGACTGAATTGTGTTACTGGTACACACTCCCGGTCTGTACCTCCCTCTCTATAACATGCGGGACTGAATTGTGTTACTGGTACACACTCCCGGTCTGTACCTCCCTCTCTATAACATGCGGGACTGAATGGTGTTACTGGTACACACTACCGGTCTGTACTTCCCTCTCTATAACATGCGGGACTGAATGGTGTTACTGGTACACACTCCCGGTCTGTACCTCCCTCTCTATAACATGCGGGACTGAATGGTTTAAAGTCAGAGGCAGTCTGTAAATCCTTTGTCTGGTTCAGATAACAGGTCGGTTATACAGGCCCTCTGGTCCTGTTGTTCCTTGCAATTATTTATTTTGAAATATCATTAAGGTAAACCGTACCACTGCATCAGATATAACCGTGAAGAGTTCCACTACTAAGACTGTCTTGACCCGGAGTATTCCCCCTTCTGTATAGATGGTGAGACCACCAAAAGGAGATTTTCTAGCTTAGAGTAACATTCTTGTCAGGATATTCATAGACATAGCGGCTCTGTTTATTGATAGCTTGAAACGTAAAGGAATAGGCTTTACAATATAACTTTCAAATTTCGAACAACTATGATTAAAACAAAAATCGCATCATGTGAATTTTATGGAATCCACTTGAAATCGACTTGAACAAAAACGTTCATAAAAGTGACATTGATACTAATGATCTTTAATTGGATGGTGCCCGTTTCCTTAACGTGTAGCATTTATATGGTGGCTGATTATAGGACTATTTCTGATATTTTTTTTTTTTTTGCTTAAACGCCGCGAAAACTGACTTTTAATAAAAAAAAACACACACACAAAAAAACGGCGCTCTGTGGTCACGACAAAGGAAAAAGCTAAACAACATAGCAAAAAGTAAAAAAAGCAAAAAAAATAAAAAAAATTGATCAAGGTTACATTTTATGCTACCCTGTAGATGTGTTAGAGTTAACTCCCTTTAGTAAAGAAATGTTTCGTTGTATTAAACTGTTTTATGCCAGTGTCAAGCTCAGCAAGCATATAACCTAGAGTGTATATATAACCAAAGCCGGTTTTGATTGAGAGAATATTAATACAGGAAAATAAAGGCAGACTTTTATGTGCTAAATCATATTTCACCAGATTTTTTTTTTAAATATTGATTTATTACTCTATTTTACCTGTATGACATATTTTATGCATCACATTTCGAAATTTAGGACTTGAACATTTATAAAGACTGAGAGAAAAAATCGCCATGATAGCATGCTAAAGTATCGACTGGGTTGCCGATTACACGTCTACACTCTGTACTTGGTATGCCGTTATCGGTAAAGTACAGGTTACGTGAGATACACAATATATATATATATAGCTAATGCCACAACGATAGATTTGCCCTGTGTTCGGTGATGTGGAATACTAGTCATATACTATCATACGCTAGACAGATCACACGACTTGGGTCTCTTCCCCAGACAAACTGTAGACCAGGCGTGCACTGACAATCCATTTGTCAATATAGTCAGTTTGTGTATTGCTTATAACCTAATCGTCCCTAGGTAATATAATTCTGACGTCACACCAATTTATGGTTTGGATGAGAAATTGGTTAAAGCATTATGATGATTAAGCACATATACTTTAGTAGTCCTTCAGGACACGATTGAGGGGTTTGATGTGGCGGGACCAAATAGGGTTAATGATGGTCAAGAACCCCACATTACAACCACATGAAACACAATCATACTACTGACGCTGGCTCCAGGGTACCTCATTGCCTGTGGTCTTCGTCCCCTGGCCCCGGTAGCCCAATGGCGGTTAAATTTACCAGTGGGTAGTGAAAATATCAAGTTGTTGCTAATAATAAGCAAGAACTTTTAAAGCAAAATAAATACATTTTGTACTTCAACCCATCTTATCGTAACAAAATTACATCAGTTAAATGATGTCAGATATTCTTCCTATTGTTCATGTTCTAAAATGTCCTCTAACCACAAGTTAACTGTAACCAACTTTTGAGCAACCGGGGCCTAGTCACAACATGATAACAGTCAGGATCTTAGCCCCATAATCCTATATACAATTACTGAACACGAAGGGATTCACACGATCATGCTATCAGGATTAACCATGGGTCCGACCCTGTCCCTGCGACTTAGTCCTTTGATCATAACATGGAAACGATTGAGATCCAACTCTACACGCATTACTGTAACGCTACCAGTTTTTGCCACGAGGTCAGGCACCGCCACTAGGGAAGGATCATAAACTGGAAACGATTGATTGGTTTGGTTTTATTTTGTTTAACGTCCTATTAACAGCTTGGGTCATTTAAGGACGTGCCTCCGTGTGTATTATGAATGCATACATGTGTGTATGTATGCTGGAGACAGGGTATGTTGTTGTAATTGACTCATTGCGAGAGCGCAGATCTGATGCCGACTTTATAGTGTTCAACCCTATATCAATATATAAATATATATACGGATATTGAAAGAATAAAATTGGCTTTGAAGCATCCTCACAGTCATTGGGATATGGGATACATATGCTTTGTAAATGAATAGTGTGGCTCCATTGGAGGTTTGGCAAAACCGGATAACCCAGGTGTTTACGTCTTTGAAGGCCTTCTCTTCCTAAACAGTTGATCATATTCCAACCAACTGTGTTGTAAAGCATATAATGAAATATGATATAAATTAAGGATGTTGTTCCCATGGGTTCTCGGACGTGGAGTCTGAAATGGGGAAATGTTTGCAATGATACTTTCAATGAAAATATTCTGTCATGAGTGAAACAGGTCCTCTTGGACTCGTTTTTTTTTTGGTTATGATTCATAAACAAATTGCCAAGCTTTGCATTTATATTTTCACTGCCCCATAAAACACAATTTGAAGGTGGGAGACAGGAAAGGTGTTGTCAGAAATGTGTAGCTCATTTCGCCCACTCACCAACACGAAATCCTGGATCAGCTCCTGAATTGACGTTTGAAGTAAGAATCAATTAGACCCTGACGTTCGGTACTAAACAGAATTTTGAACAATCGATGAAGAGCGCTTCGAGCAGCGTTCAAATTACCACCCTCGAGAACAATACCACGAAGACAAAAGGAACGAAAGAGAACAACTGACAGCGGACACTGTATAAAAACAAGACTATTTATTTACAAATTTAAGATGCTGGTAGCATATAGTCACATTACGATTTAACTCGTTTAAAGAAATAAATTTCCATGGTAACCACATCGTTGCTCAGCGACATTATCGAAGTTCTGTTTGTGCATGTCCGATTTTAAGCGTTTTGTATGGCAATACAATGCTCCTCCTAATATACACTTAATGATAATACTGTAGAAATATCACTATCACCCCCAGTGTAGCCTGTAGAACCGCGAAACAATCATACCGGCAGCCGTTACAGTCAAAACAGAGTTTACGGCCCAGACATCGGAGGCTGCATTTATATTGCAGCCGTCGCTATGGCAACAGTGTATGCACATCCATCGTTTGTTGTGAGTGTCACAGGGGATGTCGGCGTGTTCTTGTTTCTGGAGAGCACACGAAGAGTTCATCGAGCATGTTTTGATAATGGACATGGTCTCTGTGGCATCTGAAAAGATATCAAGCAGGGTTCAAGGTCGTTTAATGCTATTTCTTTACATCCTCTTGATCGCTATCAACCGACATATTTATTGCCTGATCTCTATGCAACGCTTATAGTGTGCTTCACTCAGTGACAAAACGTTTACTATTCATTTGCTTCATAATAAATCAAAATTTCAGATCCAATGTTCAGAAAATTGTGCAGAATTATTACCTGAGAACTGTATTACACAGGTTACTAACCTGACTTAACTCTTTTACACAGGTTACTTACCTGACTTAACTCTATTACACGGGTTAATTGCCTGATTACTCTATTACACAGGTACCTTACTTACCTGACTTAACGGTGTTACACAGGTTACTTACCTGAGAACTGTATTATACAGGTAACTTACCTGAGAACTCTATTACACAGGTTACTTACCTAAGAACTTTATTACACAGGTTACTTACCTGACTTAACTCTATTACATAGGTAACTTACATGATAACTCTATTATACAGGTAACTTACCTGAGAACCGTATTACACAGGTAACTTACCTGTAACTCTATTACATAGGTAACTTACCTGATAACTCTATTACACAGGTAACTTACCTGAGAACTCTTTTACACAGGTTACTTACCTGAGAACTGTAGTATACAGGTAACTTACCTGAGAAGTCTATGATGCGGGTGAGAGGTAATTTACCTGAGAAGTCTATGATACAGGTAACTTACTTGAGAAGTCTATGATACAGGTGAGAGGTAATTTACCTGAGAAGTCTACTATACAGGTGAGAGGTAACTTACCTGAGAAGTCTATGATCGTTTGACAGGTATCCATGTCCGTCGCACATTCCAACAAGTTGTGTTCTCCGACGCACATTGTGTTGGACTGCTCATTTTCACACGTGTAACATCGAATAGACCTTGTCACTGAAAAAACAATACCTCTTATGTAAGGAGAGTTCGATTGTTTCGTCAGCAATAATTCATTATCTGAAAAGAAATGAAGCATTATGATTTTTTCTAGTATCAAAGGTGAAGAAAGTTGGATAAAGTGAAAATCAAATTTAAAAGGTAAAGTTCCAATATAAGAGTAAAAACAGTGAATGAAAAGGTTTGGGGTTTGATTTTTAACGGCCTTTCGTAGTGATTATGTGTTTGAAATGTTCTGGGGTTTCTCGAAATTTTCAAAATTAAACCCCTGACGAAAAAATTGCAATTGTACAGTAGACGCTACGAACACACAGGCATTTCCAGTCTGGCTTACATCATGTGAAAGAGTCATAAGCATTTCATAGATTGACAGCAATAGCATCACCAGTGTTTTTACTACGGTAATGTAATTACTTTGGGAGAACGAGTTTGTAAACTTTGTGGAAGGCTGGATAGGAATCGATAGAAAACGGCTACTAGCTGACGGGGCTGATCATCTCCAACCTGTGGTGAAAACAGTAACTGGTGTCTATTTCTGGCTGGCTTGTCGACATCGTCCTTGTTGGGCACATTGAGGCATGACACCCGCCATGCATATCTAGGTCAGATCCACGTAGATTCCACGTCCTCATAGCAAGAACTGAGGTAGAGACAACACAAGCACAAGGCACGCTAATGATCGAGCATACTAGAAACAATCATCTTCATATCACACAAAGCAATAGCATATTTCCAACTAGACCAGGATAGCGATCATACAACCTTTACAACCTGCATATTTGGAAACCCTGTGTTGTAAGTTTGTCCGTCAGCAGTCGACTCCTGCCACGGAACTCATTATATTTGGAGTAAGCTCTTGATTACCGTATCATCTTTGACATGCAAACAAACACCGTATGTTGGCAAAGTAGGGATATTACTATCAAGAAATTTCACGACCGTAAAATCGAAATCGTCTCTCCTATCTAGTACTAAGCCTTCCCTGTTTTTCATGTGGTAAATAAAGTTAGAGGAATTTAAGCGGCAAAGTTGAAGAATCTGCAGTGTCTTTGATTTCAAACTGCATAGGAGAAATACGGTTGATGTGGTCAATAGAGTTCTTGTTATGCAAAGATAGAACATCGTCGATAATCCTGCCAGCGAACTCAAAACATATATTGTCAACCAGGAACTCTATCTTTCTCATGATTTTTATCCTCAGTATATGCCATTCGGCCTTTGTTGAGCTTTTCACAAAACATACCCCAAAATAAATTACAATCATATATTGACATCGCCGTTCGCCTTTATTGGAAAAGAAACTTCTGACAATAAATAGGTATGATAGTGTAAAGGGTCGAAAAGTCAAAATTATGATAGAAAAAAGTTTCGATGAGAGGATGTTCATGACTGAGTAAGCTATCTTATTAACACCACTTCTTGAGTTTACAGTGTCAAAATACGGGTGTAACCCAGATTTAATGGAACTACGAATGGTACTAAGAAGATTTAGATAAAGGCTTGGTGGAGCAGCTAGAGGAGCCAGTTTATATGGATTCTTGTACAAACGAGGCAGGTCCGTATCCTTATCATTAGTGCGTATTCGGGAAGATCGCAATACAGAAGCGTGATTAGCTAGCATTTCGTCTTTCAAACAATTGGAAAATGTATAGGTAAGATTCTCTAGGTTTACAAAGCTAACGAACACACAAATAATATTCGTGAAAAATAAAGTGAATTTAAGTAGGAACCCTCTGCTACGCTGTCCCCTGAAAGGGGCATTTATATGACAATGAGATCCGCGCATCATTTAGTGAAATATGCATATGTCATCTACCGGCGTACCATGCTATTCAAATATCGATATCAATGTTTATTTGAGGGACGAGTACATTTCTACCGATTGCACACTCAATTGATAAAAGAACTTCTTCAGCTCAAATGCTCAAAATCATTACCTTATTCGTTAAATTTTAAAAAAATGACCTTTTCTCGTCTTCACACGACCGATATTAACTTTAAAAAAATCCTTTTTATTTTCGAGTTCCATTTCGGACAGTTGTTGCATTGATTTGTATGCATAAAAACGACGTTTACGGAGAATGTGTGACAGAGTGAGCTCTACCCAAACATTTATCTATTTAAGTGATGGTCTTAATTTATCATAGAGAAGTTTACAGTCATATCTGTGAAACATTTGATCCGTGAATCAGACTAATTAAAGTTCACGCTATATACAGATGTGACAGGTTATTCATGAGAGCACCGTGTCTACCACAAGTTAGTTCCTAGTATTACTCACGAGCTTGGAACTAGAGTGACGATGTTCATCATTTGATTACATGTAGTGTAGCTATTTTAATATAAAACAGGGACAGGTTTGCTCTACGGACAGTCTGGTTTTCGCCACGAGAAGGGAGATGGTTTTGATACAGGTATTGAAACACAATACTTCCGTAACTTAACTGGAAGATTGAGACACACCGCTTAAGTAATTCAACTGGAAGATTGAGACACAACGCTACCATTAATAAACAGGAAGATTGAGACACAACGCTTACGTTACTGAGATGGAATTTTGAGACACAACGCTTACGTTACTTAACTGGAAGATTGAGACACAACGCTTACGTTACTTAACTGGAAGATGGAGACACAACGCTTACGTTACTTAACTGGAAGATGGAGACACAACGCTTACGTTACTTAACTGGAAGATGGAGACACAACGCTTACGTTACTTAACTGGAAGATGGAGACACAACGCTTACGTTACTTAACTGGAAGATTGGAACACAACGCTTACGTTACTTAACTGGAAGATTGAGACACCACGCTTACGTTACTTAACTGGAAGATTGACACACAACGCTTACGTTACTTAACTGGAAGATTGAGACACCACGCTTACGTTACTTAACTGGAAGATTGAGACACCACGCTTACGTTACTTAACTGGAAGATTGAGACACAACGCTTCCGTTACTTAACTGGAAGATTGAGACACAACGCTTACGTAACTTAACTAGAAGATTGAGACACAACGCTTACGTTACTTAACTGGAAAATTGAGACACAACGCTTACGTTACTTAACTGGAAAATTGAGACACAACGCTTACGTTACTTAACTGGAAAATTGAGACACAACGCTTACGTTACTTAACTGGAAAATTGAGACACAACGCTTACGTTACTTAACTGGAAGATGGAGACACAACGCTTACGTTACTTAACTGGAAGATGGAGACACAACGCTTACGTTACTTAACTGGAAGATGGAGACACAACGCTTACGTTACTTAACTGGAAGATTGGAACACAACGCTTACGTTACTTAACTAGAAGATTGAGACACAGCGCTTACGTTACTTAACTGGAAGATTGAGACACCACGCTTACGTTACTTAACTGGAAGATTGACACACAACGCTTACGTTACTTAACTGGAAGATTGGAACACAACGCTTACGTTACTTAACTAGAAGATTGAGACACAGCGCTTACGTTACTTAACTGGAAGATTGAGACACCACGCTTACGTTACTTAACTGGAAGATTGACACACAACGCTTACGTTACTTAACTGGAAGATTGGAACACAACGCTTACGTTACTTAACTGGAAGATTGGAACACAACGCTTACGTTACTTAACTAGAAGATTGAGACACAGCGCTTACGTTACTTAACTGAAAGATTGAGACACAACGCTTACGTTACTTAACTAGAAGATTGAGACACAACGCTAACGTTACTTAACTGGAAGATTGAGACACAACGCTTACGTAACTAAACTGGAAGATTGAGACACAACGCTAACGTTACTTAGATGGAAGATTGAGACACAACGCTAAAGTTACTTAGATGGAAGATTAAGACATAACGCTAAAGTTACTTAGATGGAAGATTGAGACGCAAAGCTTTCGTTACTGAGATGGAAGATTGAGACACAACGCTTACGTTACTTAACTGGAAGATTGAGACAAAACGCTTACGTTACTTAGATGGAAGATTGAGACAAAACGCTTACGTTACTTTACTGGAAGATTGAGACACAACGCTAACGTTACTTAACTGGAAGATTGAGACACAACGCTAACGTTACTTAGATGGAAGATTGAGACACAACGCTAAAGTTACTTAGATGGAAGATTGAGACGCAAAGCTTTCGTTACTGAGATGGAAGATTGAGACACAACGCTTACGTTACTTAACTGGAAGATTGAGACACAACGCTTACGTTTCTTACCTGGAAGATTGGGACACAACGCTTACGTTACTGAGATGGAAGATGAGACGCAAAGCTTTCGTTACTGAGATGGAAGATTGAGACACAACGCTTACGTTACTTAACGGGAAGATTGAGACACAACGCTTACGTTACTTAGATGGAAGACTGAGACACAACGCTTACGTTACTTAACTGGAAGATTGGGACACAAGGCTTACGTTTCTTACCTGGAAGATTGAGACACAACGCTTACGTTTCTTAACTGGAAGATTGAGACACAACTCTTACGTTACTTAGATGGAAGATTGGAACACAACGCTTACGTTACTTAACTGGAAGATTGAAACACCACGCTTACGTTACTTAACTGGAAGATTGACACAACGCTTACGTTACTTAACTGGAAGAATGAGACACAACGCTTACGTTACTGAGATGGAAGTTTGAGACACAACGTAATTTCTGTACGTAGATGTTGTTTACCTATCGAACATGTACTTGTAATGAGACTGTTGATTAACATCTATGAATAAACAATGATTCTTACAAACAATTACGAGCGTTCACGGCTGCTGTGTTACAAGTGCCGACGATTGCCGAGTATGTCGGGATAAGTCGAAATATCTCACGCTCGGAATGACAAAATGATTGATTAATTAAGCAGTTAAAACCAGAAGTCTATTTTAACGTTTGATATCTAGGGTTAATGTATCTATAAAGATTCTTACTAGCCAATATAGAGACAGGAAACAAAAAAATAAATGTTAAGCTTCAGACGTCGATTCATTCATCAGCTAATTAGGCGTTAACAACTGGGCCGAGGTATATAACACTTATTACATATTTCCCTAAGGACAGAGCTATGCATAATAACGTACTCAGTTTTACGTCGAGATGTTGCTGAGTAAGGAATATTCACTACATATGTCATCGGAAATTTCCGACGGTCATTTCCTCCTCTTTTACAGTAATTTGGTTTCTTTTCCCAGCGAATTCCATCAAAATGAAGAATGTTTATCTTTAATGTCTAATTATTTAGTCTGAATCTACGGAGGCTGATTGAGATTATCCGAGATACCAAGTCGTAATAGCGATATAATTATCCCGTTTTCTCGAGATAATAAGCCGTTATAGCAAGATAGTTATCCCGTTATCTCGAGATACTAAGTCGTTATAGCGAGATAGTTATCCTATTATCTGGTGATACTAAGTTGTTATAGCAAGATGGTTATCCCGTTATCTCGAGATACTAAGTCGTTATAGCGAGAAAGTTATATAGTTATCAAGAGATACTTAATCGTTATAATGAGGCAGTTATCCCGTTATCACGAGATACTAAGTCGTCATGACAAGATAAAAGTCGAGCCTCCGTACGAATCTCATTTCGACCAATCAGAGGCCGTGGCAGCCATTTTGGTTAACCGGAAAATGAAAAGTCATTTGTCGGGATCACTCGAGGTCGGAACATAAAAGGTCATTTGCACACACCCTTACCATAAGAAACACTTGTGTAAAGTTTTATTAATTTCCGACCAATGGCAAAGAAGAAGAAGAAGAAGAAGAAGAAGAAGAAGAAGAAGAAGAAGAAGAAGAAGAAGATCAAAAGACTTAATAAAAGTCACTGATATTTGTTTTATCTGACGTAAATAAACCTCGACACGGCTCTGCTTAGTGCACTAACACGACATAAAATTCAGGAATTAAATATTTAATAAATTCTCATTATATTCAGTCGCTATAAAAGACTCCTCTCAGACATTAAGGCTCCCGATTTCTATACGCATTACCTGTCGAGTCAGGAAACAACAGACTTAACACTGATAAAGCCAGCCGTATGTAACAGGTAAAACGACTCAAGGATCCAGGTTTAAGTTAAGGATCCCCGTACCATTGCCGGAAACAGTAACAAAGCATTAGAAATTGATTGGTTTGGAAAGACTACAGATTTGATAAATAATTTCTGACAAGAAAACCAAAACTTGCGAGATTCTAACAAAATAAATCAACAACGGTGTTCTAAGTGCAAAAAAATACATAGCGGCTCAACCAGTATTCAAACTCTGTACTTCAGATTCTTGATCTGGTTAACGAAAGTGTCCAATCGGGAAACGTCGGCACTTTCCGTAAACGTGAATATACTTCTCTCGTTTACGGAAAGTGCCAACGGCTTCCGATTGCGGAAGTATCCTGACCCAACTGTGCTTTAAGTTATATCCAAAGGGAAGTTAAGGAGAGGTTACTGTATATGCGAAAACGTTAAAGTGCAATATAGCGGGTCCGACTCGGTTAGGGAGAATTAGGGAGAGACTATTAAACCAGAGGTCCCGAGTTCGACTCCAAGCGGAGGCATTAAAACATATTGACCTCTGTCACATGGTAAAATACTTGTTATAAGTCATGAACTCGAAACAAGACGAGGAATACATTACACATTATCTTGTGTCTCTCTTTACTTAAACACGCATTGACGATGCACTTAGAATCATTCAAAGACACATAGATTTAGAAAGATACCGGCGAAAGAACATCTATCTCCAGATTCAGGACATCATGGAGTTGCTGGGTGCTGACAACAATATTGTTCCGTTACCGAGACATCATCTATCAGCAACACTTCGGCATTGCTATGGGTAGTCCTGTGATTTCCATTGTGGCCAATTTGTTCATGAAACATCTGGAGCAAGGAGCAACAACAACTGCTCCGACAGCATACATGCCTAGCTTATGACAACGATCAAAAAGGGTTTTAAAAGAATTTTACCAAACTTTTTAACGCAATAGATGCCACAATCAGCAACAAGTTCACTTACAAGGAAAAATCAGCGGCACGATGCCTTTCTTATACACCCAAGTGATAAAGAACGAGGACGAAACCTTGACTGTATTTGTCTCTGCAGAATCGTACGGACCAATATCGGAACTTCAAATTCTTTGCCTCAGAGCACGATGCTCAAAAGATGTGAGGCAATTTTCCTCCAATCTTCACAGGTGTGTCTCCCGTTTTAGCCGGGAAAGATCAGTTTTCTCCCACCCTTCACAGATGTGTCTCCCGTTTTATCCGAGAAAGATCAACTTGTCACCCATAGGGGGGAGATAGCCTCGTGCCGATTAGCCCGTGTTCAATTGTGACGTCATCAAAATTGAATGACGATATTCATACCCCACATGTGCTTTTGTTTACAAAAAATGCACACTACTGTCAGTGGAGTTTTGACTGAAATAATAGGATGGGAGAAAAATAATCAACCCCTACCTTGAAGGTGTAACAGAGAAATTTCCTACCCGCGAGGTGATTTTATTGGTTGTCCTACCCTCGGCAGAGCCTCGGGTTAGACAACCAAAAAACATCACCACTCGGATTGGAGTTTTCTCTATCAACCTTAAAGGTAGGGGAATATTGTATTAGTCGTAGAACAACAGGGCAAAATACGAGAGCAGAATCACCTCACTGGTGCAATCAAACCTGTGGATATCCAGAATGGGCTCTCAAAAGGGTACACAAACGTCATCCTGTATATAAGGAATATCCAAACCCACCAAGAGGACATATGATGCCAGTCAGGATGCTTCATAATATCCCAGTAACACCTGAGGATACCTAAGCAAACGTCGCAGAATGCGTGCGTATGTAAGAACTGTGACGCATCCTATATTGGAGAAACTGGAAGACAATTTGGGGTGAACACCGGAAATATACAGAAACCCAAGAGGGAAAGAAATTCATCTGATCAGAAAGGAAGCAGTCGGAGTCCCAGGGCAATGAATCGACGATCACAGTTCAAACAATAAAACAATTCAAGTTATTTACAGGGATAACTCCAAAGTATCGGACAGCGAGAATAAGAGATCAGCTGCGCCCTAAGTTCTGAATCGAGATGAGGGGGCTCATAGACCCTCGCATATCTATGACCAGGTATTGAACTAAGCGTTGCCGAACAGATTTGTCGGTCATATTCATTATTTCGTTTATGTTTATCATCTTAGTGTACACACGCTTATAACGTCGATTTTATATCGCCAACTCGTACACATTTTACACATTTGTGTACGTACGCTTCGCTTGTCATTTGTCAGATGTAGGTGACAAAGTACGTACCGTACACGTCATTGAAACGTCACACATAACCATTTTCCTGGTTGTGCCACATGAACCATTTTACGATCCACTCTTACCAACTCGAAGCAAATGTTTAGAAAAATAAGTTTGTGGTATAGATAAGTATGTGAGTTGCGTATTATGTCTGGTATAAATCAGCACGCCTGGTTCATATACAATATGTATAGGTATAAGCCTGATACACAGCAGTGTTCGTGTAAGAGTATTTATCGGCTCAAACAACGACAATTTGTCACTTTCGTATTTTTCATTATCCCTGACAAACTTGGCGAGAGCTTAATTCGATATGATGTGAAGAAATCGATTCGAACAAACTCCCCAGGGTGAACGTTAACCAAATACGACCGATAGAGGGCGCGGGGGGAGTACTCGCTGTTTGATGGAAGACAGAAGATAAATTGGCGAGAGTTTGTATAATGTACAAGGTCTGCGGGGAGTTGTATAGATCGTGGTACTGATTCCGCGGCCTCAACACTTAAACCAGACAATGGTCACAGGAGTTCGTGTCTATAGCAAACATGTATCAGAGGATAAGTGTGTAAGGAGAAGATTTCAAAATGTCTGTTTTTCTGTTGTTGTGTTATTTGACGATATATTTAAACCCCTAAAACATGTAAAATTACTCTGTATACCTTAATTAGTGAAGATCCAAATATAGCTGTAACACATTATCAGGTTCCTGTGGGGATGGCGTGGCGTGGGGCAAACGGGGAGGGAATAACATGTTACCAATATTTATGGTCATACAATGGTAGTATCTACTAATGATGGGGCCTTTTACATACTCAGTACCATTCTAAAGTGTCATCACATGGAAACGTCACAATTCAGACAGATCTACTCGGATATCTATTTATCTACAGTGGGGGACAGAGAAGACGGTGTTAATTCTGTAGGGGGTTCAAACACACGTAACGACACTGACTGACCGGGTTATTCATACGCTTTAACATCGTCGAATTAAAAAAGAAATGTCACCACCAGTTCCAAATTCCGGCACACGTGGCATCACAGTCTTGATGCTAATGTCAAGGTATTTTCGGCAGAAGATTATTTTTTTAAGACATTAAAAATGACCCGCTGAGGAGTAACTGACTGTCGGTATTGAAATTTCTTCTGCCTATTTTAATATGTTCTATCGATTACAGGAGATTTTCAATAAACAGACAGGAAAAACAATCTCTCTATTCCTGGCTTTTTTGCTGCTGGAAATGTCTAAAATCGGCAGGAATTGGATACGACCTAGGTATATTACAACACAAAATAAAATCGACAAAAAATTAGTAATCGCTTATAGATTTCCTGACTAAGCTTAGATACAGAAATCAACCATGAACTTAACACTTTCTTCCTTCTAAAATGGACCTTAATCTTCAGTAATGGACCTTAGGTAGACCAAACCTTAGGACGTATCAAAATATGCAGAAGTCAAACCCGACAGTTACTCCTCAGCGAGTGTAATGTATAATGTCCGAAACCTTCAAAACAGTTCCAGGAAGATTTGGACCGGCTGTACAGTAAGGCATCAAGCTTCTACGTGTTGGGGGATAAGATAACCCGATTTTCATAAGATGGCATACATACCTTGGAACATCATGGCCAAAAGGACCACTGACGCTTTTGTTGTAATTTGGTCCCACATCTTTGATCCGCATGTTCAGGAAACGGAAATCATGGCTACTTCCACGCTCCGACTACTTCTGTGTTTCACGAGTTCTAACAGACACAAAACGTTGTTGGTTATACTCACACATGAAACACATACTTATGACCAAAATCTACAAAACTGGACGTAGAAATTGGTATAACTGTACAAAATAACTATTATCACTTGCGTTATGGTAAAAAATAGTATTTAGCAGCGTCTGTAGGTAGATGCTTCCTATGATCTACACATTGTATGCCTTTTCATCCGTGTTTTTGGCTACGTCTCTTAAAAGTATATATTTTTTAATTTCTATATTGCCCTGTACTGGCAGAAAGAATATTCCCCTAAAATCGTCTTATTTAACATGTACATCTGTATATTACTGCATGCTATTTGCTGGAGTATTCATCCAAAAGTCGCGAAAACTCGGGAGAAACAGACTTTCATACTCTTGTGGCTTTAGTTGTTTCGTTTCACGTGGCGGGGAAACAAGGCCGAGACAGATTTTGCATCAACACGTGCACGTTTCCATCTCGTTGAAACGCTTTAGATGAATCACAATGACATTTTACGTCTATCGGAACGCAACACAATTCCAATGTAAATCTGGCGACGCCAACACGGTGGTGCCTGTTACACTCAGTTCCGTAGTTCCCTACTTACACTGGCAGGACCACGTGTTGCGAGCAGAAGACACCGCTAACATGGAGTAATCCTATATATTCGTTCCCGCTGTTTAAATAAACATGTATGTTGTCAGGAGAAACAATACAGTCCCAGACAGACTCACGGCCATTCCACCAGCGTTTGAATCCCCAGGCAACTCGCTTCCATTTCCCGTGCTTTCATGTCGCTTGATTAAGCTTTTGGTTTACGACATACTCAAACAGTCTCCGACAATGGATTCCCGGGGCGGAGAACGCAAACTGCTGGGAAGCTATGAGACGTGTATCGGAAAATGTGCATGGAATCGTGAATAGGGAAGTCTGGTGCGCTGGGGAAATGGTAACGTACGTCTAGGATAGGGCTATACACACACGATTATAGTTCAATAACTGGGGCCCAGTAAAAGCTAAGTACTAAGCATCTTAATATTGTTATCCCTATAACCCGGGACTCTGGGAAATAAGTATTAAGAAATGATTAAAACACATCTACATAATAAAGTTTTAACGGATGACTTTCCGGGATTTCCGGAATGTAAAAATCAATTTATTTCAACCTTCCCGACCAGTGATAAAATTATGTATATAACAAAATGGACGCTGAAATGTTCGCCCCTGAATCAGATTTAATTATAAGTGATAAGAGTCCTGCATTGGAAAATTTGGAATCGGGAATAATGAAACCAGAACATTTAAAATTTGCTATGATCATGGGTTGGAAAGTATGGAACCGTTACCGAACGAGAATATTGGGAGACCGTGTATCAGGAAATCTGGGGTAGGAACGAAAATGAAAACCAGGTATCGGGAGTGTGGACTTTGAATCGTGGATCGGAACGTCTGGAGCCAGAGGCTAACATGTAGGATTGGAACCAAGGAATTGATTATCAAGTGACTTTACGGGATAGCTCAATCGTACATATTGGGGAAGAGCAAGGCAAAGCCTTGAATATCACTCCTACCGGGGAGAGTTCACAGTCTTATTTACCGAGAAGAGGCAACGACTCATTATTTTAAAGAAAATCATTCTCTTATTTTAATATCACAATGAGGTTTCTATTTAATGAGTGCCTCTCGTTTTCAGTGGCTTTCTACATGTACCTAGCTATTTACCATCTGACACAAGGGTATATCTGAGCAAGTCTTTTATCCTTCTCTTTCCTATCCTACCCTCCCCTACATTCCGTTTATTTACTCATATAAACACAACATATTGCTGCCTATTTCTATCTCGAATATAGCATGTGGACCTCAAACCTCATCATTTTAAGTTGTAAAACTTGTTTCCAAGTCCTATTTCAACAATTGTGTATTGCTTTACATTATACTGTAAAAGGAGGCACGGTATAGTCTAGTGGTAGGACGCCGGGCTCGTGGCCGAAGGGTTGCGGGTTCGAGTCGCGGCACGGCACTGTGTTGTTGCTTTGAGCAAGATACTTTACTCCGCTCGAGCACGTTGTTGGGCAGTGCTAGAATTGTTGAATGCTAGCTGTGAGCGCCGAAATGGCAGCACCGGCTGTATGCTCCCCCGGGAGTTGAGAAAGATATTGGCTGGTTGCAAAGGCCCTATAACCACGGATAAAATTATAAACCGCTTTTAGACGACCTACGTACTTGGTTGTGATAAAACGGTATATAAGAACTTCCAATTATTATTAATTAAAAGAAAAAAGAACTGAAATAAAATTTATATTGGCATAATCAGATAATTTTGCTACTGATGAGGTAAATCTTATATTAATCACGGACTTAGAATCTAATTCCGTGGTATACCTTCGAACCTAATCCGCTTCGTGTCTTCATGCAAAATGCATACATATCGTATACCGTTAAAAATAATACTAGTTATTCCTTAAATATATGCAGAGACGTAGATTTAATATATACGTCTCTGGTTTATGTAAACAAAGCAAGTCGTCCACTCTTAATTTTTCAAATTAAAATTAGGAAACGAGCAAATACAAAAAAAGTCTAGTATAAAAATATTACTGGACTAAAAGACCTTATGAAAAGTTACGTAAAACGGCTTAATCAGAACACGATGCTTCCATAAATGAACAACACTGGTCCAAACAGTTTGGACCGTGATATTTAATGATTTAAACGAGAATTGTCTCACAATTTGTACCGTGATCACATATTTCACACTCGATAATGACGAAAACATTTAACAACAACTTTCTGTAAACAAGACACTGGCCTTCAACTCGCTACCATATGGCTGGAATGTACGTGTTTTCAGCGTGATTGAAATGCCATTTCAAGCTGGTGGCTAACACTTTTTCACAAGTTTCTTTCGGGAGCCCGAAGTTGGTTCCTAGTTCCATTGAAGAAGTTAGCGAAAATGTGTGAGTATGAAACACCTGTAAATCTCAGATAGCTTTTATTTGTAACAGTTTATAACAACACCCGCCTATTGGTGTTAAATATGACGACACTCCCAGAATACCCCTGAGATACACCGGAAACTGTCAGACACACACAGAGTTCAAGGATGGAGCCATGGTTCCATGTCCACGGGGTATTCCGTCTTTGCGTATTGCAGAGTTATCTTCTCTTGAGAGCAGGTATTGATTGTTATGTCATTGGTTTGTGTGAGAAAATTACGTTGTTTTCTCAAAAATTGATGACGTTACTCTCACAAACAAGTGACATAACAATCAATATCTGCTCCCAAGAAAAGATAACTATGCAATACGCAAAGACGGAATAGACAGTATGTAATGTATATAAGCTGGTACATCATAATTCAGTGGCGGATCCAGAGGGGTGTTTTGGGCTTCAGGTAAACCTCTCCCCCCCCCCACCCCCAACCCTGAGAATTTTCTTTAAAAATCATGTATTTTCACCATTTTCCTCAATTTTTTCCCCACATGCAAATTTGAAAACCCCTCCAGATAGGTCTCTGGATCCTCCACTGAGAATTTGACAGTTTATATAATTATCATATATACATTTACAGCGTTGTTTTAGTTGACAGTTTAAAAGAACAAGCCAGAGTATAAGTTGTTTGAACTAAAACGGTTATTCACCCGCCATATTCCATCTATTTAAATGTAATTCCACCAGTGTAATGTTGTATAATTTAGTTTATTAATTTATTTTTGATTTTTCGGTCACCTGAGGTTTAGCATGATACGTTTTTTGATTGGATTCAGATTAGGAAAAATGACCGGTCCAACTTCAATGCTAGTCAATTTTACCGTCACGCTGTTGGGCGATTCTGTTTATGTACATCAAAGGATCAAACTAGTCTATTTGTATCATCCACAATGAAGCGTGTACAAAGCCTGCCATTTTGTCATGACATTTTTCATGGGTCCAATGACGTAAAAGAGCGCAAGCCCTGGACATTCAAAGATGCAAGAAACTCAGGTCCCATTTATAAATATATATGCTGTACTCCTTCCTATAGTGCATAATCTGCCTATTGTTTGTTGTAGAATATCAAAATACGACCTTTCCCAAGGTCTAAATCTCCTTTCCATAAAAGATAATATATAAACTTTATTTATTTTGCAACAATTATGAAACAAGTTATTTCAACTTATATTAATCACTCTTGTTGGCCCGGATGTTAATGTGAGGAGGGTACCGGTCTTTCTGTGGGAGGAAATCGGAGCATCAGAAGATAAAACCCAGGTGATTGGGCAGATCAGGGAATCGAACCCTGGCTGCCTTGGTGATATGCAAGTGCGCTATCCAACCCCCCTTCCATCAATAAATGATGACTATCAACTCTTCCTTCACGTTATAGAGTAAAACGCCTCACTCTTACCTGGGTTTATGTTGTATCTGGCTCCGTCTGAAAAAGTCTCCACAACAAATGTAAGTGAAGCTGAGACTCTCCGTAAATGTGCTAAGAGGAATACTTACATGAAATGAAGCATTATTATAAGAGGCCGGAGTATTATCAAATTTGTGTTCATATTCGAGTGAACTTGACTTTTGATATTTGGACCTCCAAAGCAATCACGAACAAGCATCAATCATAAGGCAAAAAGATTGTGAATTTTGCTTCGAAGCAAATCAAATTATTGTGCGGAAACTTGTACATATGAGCGATACCCAACTTCAAAGCCGGTCAATATTACCGTTATGCTGCTGCGCAATTCTTTTGATGTACCTCAAAGGATCAAACTAGTGTATTTGTATCGTCCGCAAGCTGGTATATACAGAGCCTTCAACACAACAGACAACACAAGATATCGTAACCCCTGAGTTCAAATGATGTAATGGGACCGACAAAGCAAGACACATGATAAGCTTTTTGCTTGGATTCAGAATCGAACCCCGGCCGCCTTGGTGAAAGGCAAGGGAGCTATCCACTGTGCCACCCGACCACCCATATATACATAGTATACCTCAAAAAATAATACTAGACTAATACAAAAAAGCCAAGCATATTAAAATATTACTGGACTAAAAAACCTTATGAAACGTTACGTAAAACCACGGTCCGTGGTAAAACCGTTCTAATTAGAACACGCTTCCTTCCATAAATGAACAACACTGGTCCAAACAGTTTGGACCGTGATATTTAATGATAGCGAGAATTGTCTCACAATTTGTACCGTGATCACATATTTCACACTCGATAATGACGAAAACATTTAACAACAACTTTCTGTAAACAAGACACTGGCCTTCAACTCGCTACCATATGGCTGGAATGTACGTGTTTTCAGCGTAATTGAAATGCCATTTCAAGCTGGTGGCTAACACTTTTTCACAAGTTTCTTTCGGGAGCCCGAAGTTGGTTCCTAGTTCCGTTGAAGAAGTTAGCGAAAGTGTGTGAGTATGAAACACCTGTAAATCTCAGATAGCTTTTATTTGTAACAGTTTATAACAACACCCGCCTATTGGTGTTAAATATGATGGCACTCCGGGCATACCCTTGTGATACACCGGAAACTGTCAGACAGAGTTCAAGGATGGAGCCATGGTCCCATGTCCACGGGGGTATAGTATATAAGCTGGTACATCATAATTCAGTGGCGGATCCAGAGGGGTGTTTTGGGCTTCAGGTAAACCTCTCCCCCCCCCACCCCCAACCCTGAGAATTTTCTTTAAAAATCATGTATTTTCACCATTTTCCTCAATTTTTTCCCCACATGCAAATTTGAAAACCCCTCCAGATAGGTCTCTGGATCCTCCACTGAGAATTTGACAGTTTATATAATTATCATATATACATTTACAGCGTTGTTTTAGTTGACAGTTTAAAAGAACAAGCCAGAGTATAAGTTGTTTGAACTAAAACGGTTATTCACCCGCCATATTCCATCTATTTAAATGTAATTCCACCAGTGTAATGTTGTATAATTTAGTTTATTAATTTATTTTTGATTTTTCGGTCACCTGAGGTTTAGCATGATACGTTTTTTGATTGTATTCAGATTAGGAAAAATGACCGGTCCAACTTCAATGCTAGTCAATTTTACCGTCACGCTGTTGGGCGATTCTGTTTATGTACATCAAAGGATCAAACTAGTCTATTTGTATCATCCACAATGAAGCGTGTACAAAGCCTGCCATTTTGTCATGACATTTTTCATGGGTCCAATGACGTAAAAGAGCGCAAGCCCTGGACATTCAAAGATGCAAGAAACTCAGGTCCCATCTATAAATATATATGCTGTACTCCTTCCTATAGTGCATAATCTGCCTATTGTTTGTTGTAGAATATCAAAATGCGACCTTTCCCAAGGTCTTAATCTCCTTTCCATAAAAGATAATATATAAACTTTATTTATTTTGCAACAATTATGAAACAAGTTATTTCAACTTATATTAATCACTCTTGTTGGCGCGGATGTTAGTGTGAGGAGGGTCTTTCTGTGGGAGGAAATCAGACCATCAGAAGATAAAACCCACGCGATTGGGCAGATCAGGGAAACCAACCCTGGCTGCTTTGGTGAAATGCAAGTGCACTATACACTGGCCATCCGACCACCTTTCCATCCACAACTCATCCTTCACGTTATAGAGTAAAACGCCTCACTCTTACCTGGGTTTATGTTGTATCTGGCTCGGTCTGAAAGTCTCCACAACAAATGTTAGTGAAGCTGAGACTCTCCGTTAAAATGTGCTAAGAGGAATACTTACAGAACAAGGTAAAGCACATCCCAAAAAATAATTTCAAGATGAAGAAAACAAGAGGCCCAATGGGCCTGCATCGCTCACCTGGTATAAATCTCACACTTTTAACCTTAAAAGTGATCTAAAATAAAGCTACAGGTAAAATATCAGTATTTATGATTAAAATTCATTCAACGGTTATTTTTTTAAAAAACATTTCACCCCCCCTGTGATTGAAAGTCGAACAAAGTCATTATGTTGAACAAATTTTATAGCCTTTCATCTCAGGATGCAACTTGCAAAGTATCAACATCCTGGGACCCATGGTTATTCAGAAGAGGTCGTTTAAAGATGTTAAACAGATTTGACCCCTGTGACCTTGAATATAAGTCAAAGTCATTCACTTTAACAAACATAGTAGTCCAGTGACGTTGATCCCAGCATGCTACTGACTAAATATCAACATCCTGAGCCTTTTGGTTATTGAGAACATGTTGTTGAAATATTTTGAACTTATTTGCTCCTTGTGACCTTGAATATGATTCAAGGTCATACATTAAGACAAACTTGGTAGCCCTTGATCCTAGTATGCTACTGACTCAAAAAATATCATCACTCTATGCATTTTGGTTATTCTGAAGAAGTTGTTTAATGTTTTTAACATATTTGACCCCTGTGAACTTGAATATAAGTGAAGGTCATTCATTTGAACAAACTTGATAGCCCTTTACACCAGCATGCTACTGGCGAAATATTATCACACTGGGCATTTTGGTTATTCAGAAGAAGTTGTTTAAAGTTTTTAACATATTTGACCCCTGTGACCTTGAATATGGGTGAAGGTCATTTATTTGAACAAACATTGTAGCCCTTTATCTCTGCATGCTACTGGCCAAATATCATTACCCTGGGCATTTTGGTTATTCAGAAGAAGTTGTTTAAAGTTTTTAACATATTTGACCCCTGTGACCTTGAATATGGGTGAAGGTCATTCATTTGAACAAACTTTGTAGCCCTTCATCTCAGCATGCTACTGGCCAAATATCATCACCCTGGGCATTTTGGTTATTCAGAAGAAGTTGTTTAAAGTTTTTTTTAAGACAATTGACCCATGTGACCTTGAATATAATTGAAGGTCATTCATTTGAACAAACTTGGTAGCCCTTCACCCAAGCATGCTACTGGCCAAATATCATCTCCCTGGGCAGTTTGGTTATTGAGAAGACGATGTTTAAAGTTTTTAAACATATTTGACCCCTGTGACCTTGAAAATTGGTGAAGTTCATTCATTTTAACAAACGTTGTAGCCCTTCGTCCCAGTTTGCTTCTGGCCAAATATCGACACCCTAGGCCTTTCGGTTATTAAGAAGAAGTTGTTAAAAGTAAAATATTGACGCCGGATGGACGGCCGGACGGACGCTGGCCGGACGCTGAACGGAAGCCGCGCCAAGGCATAAGCTCACTTGGCACTTCGTGCCAGGTGAGCTAAAAATAAAAATAAAAATAGTTAAACGTCTTGTTTTGAGATCTGGAGAAGACTCACTGGTGTAATATCCCTTGTTAGATACAAGAGTTCCTAGAGTTTGTATCTCCCCAATTTAGATGTGACGTCACTGTATAGGCCTTTTAACCCATTCATCCCTGGAGTTTCATAATGAACTATTCCAACATTTGAATTGGAAGAGTTCAAATGTGTCTTCAGGGGTTAGTGAGTTAATACCATACACCAAACCCCTTGTTGGCTTACTATCTAGAGCACAAAGCATCATTTCTCTGTTGCTGCCCTACACCATCTAAACTCAAGTCGTCGAATGCTGCCTTGCAAGGTGAAGACCAGGGATCAAATTTAACAACAAAACATTCATTTCAAATTTTTCATCAATTTTATTTTCAAAATTTCATTGTTGGATTCTTCTCTTCAAAAAGATGAGAAACAAGATGAAACATGAGATGACTTATTTTAACATTATAAATCAACATATCACCCATACGCTAATGACACCAATCAACATAACGTATCACCCTTACTCTGATAGTATAAATACACTATAAGTTATAACAGTGATTGTTTAACAGGGACAATCAGGTTTAACCTTGTAACAAACATAAACAAAAACAAACAGTTTAAAACAACTCATACAAACAACTGATTATAACCTATTTAAACAAGCATCTTTTAAACATAAATAACTCTTATATGTGTCATGAAATTTATGCAGTTCTTTCAGGCTGTTTCCAGAAAAAAGTTTTTGTTTCAGATTTATTTTATATTCATTTCCTCTTGCAATTAACTTTTCAGAAATGAATAATTCAGGACTGCTATAAAACATCAGAAAAAACACACTCTTTTCTTTAAATAAATTAATATTAAATTAGGTTGAAATACTAAAAACTGAGTATGAAACACTTAAGTGCCATTTTAATGATAATTATCTTTAGAACAATGAGACCAAGTATATTCCACAAACTCACAAGGGTTGTTCCCCTTTGTAAGGCCACAATCATCTCACATGAGTTATCCATCTTACATGAGTTGTCCTCCTTTGTAAAAGTTGCCAATCTTTCACACACATGCTCACCTGTGTCACTTTACTACACAAAAAATGCTAGTCAGTGAAGTGTATCATTGCACATAATGTGCTAGTGAGTTTGTTATTTGAAAATTGTATCGTTTAAAACCAGAGCTATAATAATATCATAGACACACTCGGGGCTTAGAGACAAAGTTGGATACTATATATTAATAAAACACAGGGCATTGACATTCGACAGTGACAAGACGTTTGACATAATTAAGCTTAGAAGTTATCTATACCTTTCTGCAAATGTCAAAGTAATATCAAGCAAATGCACATCATCAGATCCTATACTAGTTTGATGATTTTTGGCATAAAAATACAAAATTGAAAGTTTAAACATGTTGCCATTTTCTAGACAGATGTCTTCAAGTTTCGAAGAAGAAAAAAGATAAAATTGTGCTATTTCATCTAAAAAAGACAACCGATGGCATATATGAAAAATTACCAATATGAGAATGAGAGAACGATGTAGTTCTGGATTTGAAAAATAGAGAGGACGGACAAAGTAACATGGAATGTGAATGAACGAGGAAAAAGCTTGAGTCATTTACATATATACAGTATATAAATATAAAAAATCTTATTTCACTGTTTCTGATTATGCTAACAAGATGAATCAAGTTGTGGCAAGTCGAAGCAGCTTTCAACAAGAAAAATGATGATGCTCAAAAAATCTCCTGGTTTCTGTTATATAAAACCTCTTTAGCTGAATAATACATGAAGGGTTTGGGCACAAAGCCCCGACCCCACAATAAATAGATATCTTACTACCAATACATATAGATCGTGGAGTTTGGGATCTGTGTTTTAAATCAGTATGTTACATTTTAAAAATCATTAAAATTTAAACTTCAAACATTTACCTGATCAGGTATTATGAATAATCAACATTGAATATAAATCAGAAGGATGCATATATATATAATTTTTTCTTTCTTTCAAATCTGACCCCAAAAACGTACCTGCGCACTATACCCGAGTGCGCACTATACCCACAAATTTACGGTAGTTTTAATTTAAAAGGGGGAAAAAATATTTGAGAATTTGTTTTAATCAATATATCATTAAACTGAAGAGATTTATACAACCCAATTCAGGCGAGCACAAACATGGACGATGAAACAGTCGCATCAAATCACCATGGTAACAGTTACTCATTTTCGATCTGTGCCCCGGGGCTGCCGAGAAGCAGGCTGATTAAGATTCAGACACAGGTCTTTGCAATTTGGGAGGAAAAGCGCCAGATTCAGATTTGGAGGCTAAGTTGGGAAAGGAAGGATTCTGAATTTGATATGTAGTAATTTATTGAAATAAAAACTGTTTTTAAACAGGAAATCTCCCCATCCACAACTGTGGAAAAATAAGTTACTTGTATCCATGGTAATCTGAGGATTAACAAACCTAGGGCTACAGGTGGTTGTTGAACGTCAACAGTTACCAATAGCACGACTAGTCACACCTTTCGTTAACTGTTAAAGGGAAGGTATTTAAATGGGATATAAATCTCTATACCAAACACAGCTGGTCTAAAAGGATGAAATCTAAGAGCCTATTGATAATTATTAAAAAAGCACAACCAATGATTTTGTATCATGTCGATACATCTGACAACAAATCAGCATTTCGTGGTAAAAATTTACAAAATCACTTTCTCAACACTTCATACAATTATATATTTAGACACAGGGTACTGCACTGTTATATAAATAAATAGAATTTTACCTTCAGGCCCTTGCACATTATGTACAAAACAAACTAGAACATATATGCTATTTTTACCTGTGTCACAAAATATGACCTACATATCACAGGGCCTTTTTATACTCACGGATGTAATATCTATTAATCATTCCTGGTATACTATATAAAATATTTAACAACTTTTGTGCATCAAGGGCCTGTGATAAAAGAGATTATTGATTACATGTTTTTTTATAAACAGTTCATTAAATAGATTCGTCAAATATTCTAATTAGAATTTGAATCAAAGAATTGATATTATGAATCATGTAATGTTCACATTATAACAATACTGTTTAATTAAGCGTTGTATACACAGCCATGCACCCCTTTAGACTATAATGAAATTCTATCTATATTTCATTAACTATATAACAAAACTAATGGAATATTCCAGTCTGAGGGGTAATCGACTTAAACACAATTTGGCACTGTCATCATGGCGAGTACATTATATCTTACAAAATATTTACAAAGTTACAAAATAATTCAAATTGCACTATTGACTTCTTGGCGAAAAGTTGTGAAAACTAAAATCAATATAGAACAGAAGAAAAAACAGAAAAAAATAGAGTTTAGAAGCAGAGTACTGCTGTCCTGGGACAGCAAACTATACACCTGTCACATGCCAGGTAGCATCGACTTAAAGTGATAGTTAAACAATAAGACACACTAAGTACCATTCTGATGTAATCACGTCTCAAAACAAATGATATATATTGAAATTCGAGAAATGAAAAACTCCTTTTTTATTAAAACATTCAGTATAATTAAAATTATTTCTGGGAGGAGGTGAAAGTCAATGTTTTCAGCGTCAATAAAGTCATTGTTAAACTTATTAAGGCAGAAAGGAGAGATAAGCCAAGATTAAAACGGACATAAAATTGCATAGACAAAAATATTCATCAATGTGAAAATGTACATAAAATCTCCATGCTTGATATGCATTATGCTACCGACCCTTTTATAAACAAGTTATCTCCCTTGTTCTGAATATCTCCCTTGTCCTGATGTATTTTGATACATGCAGATTTCTTTCACTACAATACCATTTTCATGGTAAAAGGAACTCACAATTTAAACACGATTTCCTAGTCAAGCTTACATATCTTTCAACCTAATCAGCAACCGTTCATCTTTGATCTAAATTTTCATTAACTCATTCACCCCTGAAGACGCATTTGAACCCTTCCAATTCAATGGTTGGAATAGTTCATTATGAAATTTCAGGGGTGAATAACTTAAAAGAATATAAGTTTAGTGATTTCGACATTATCTATCTTTCAAGAAAAAAATCTCTTTATTGTAGATACTGCTTATTAATTGGAACAACAAATATGACAATATCCAATTAGATCATTTTCAAGATTTTTTTCACGATTATTAATGTTAAAATGAGTTGTCTTACATCACTGTTGGGGGTTGAGCTTAGAACGTTGAATGTGGGGCTCAATACAAATCTGTCTTGAAGACATAAAATCACTTTACAGACAAAATGTCTGGAATCTCAAAACCCTGGAAAAGGCATGCCTGTCGTGCTGTGTGATAAAAACACTGTTTCGAGCAACTGGCTTTCTTCACAGATTATAATTCTCTTCAAAGAACCAAATTTGCATAAAATGTTTTTCCCCATCAGGCGGACTAGCATCCTTCTTAGTTTGGATGAGTCTGACCTTTTCTTCCTTCCACCTTGACCTCTGATTGGTGCATTTATGACCTTGTCAATGACCATATATACTCTCACCTGAAGGTAGGGTACATTTTGGAGTGATACCTTCCATATATCGAGATGATTGGTGGACTAGAAGCCTAGCGACAAAGGTTCTGATCTTGGGATTGACCTTGGGATTACCCCTTGAAGTAGAAGGGAATCTTCACACAAGATGTTTGATCATGATGTTGGGAAGAGCATTCCTTCTCTTTCTCCATGTCCCCAAGTCTATTGTCTGCTGCTTCATATTCTTCAACCACAGTTTCACTTCCTTGTCTTCACCCTGCAATACAAAGGTCAAAGGTTAATAGTTTACTGAGCCATTTTAATTGTAATGGTATAACTTTAAAAGAATCCAAGGGTTTTGCATTTCTTTTCTTCAAATTATAATTATAAAATAATCACTTTTGAAATTGCAAAATTCATGCTTAAATTTTGAAAAGAGCAGTTATGAATAGCATGAAATTTGTTTAACTCCATGCTTTTCATGAAATCAATGTTTGTTTGTTTGTTTGAGTGGTTTTACGTCCGCTTCATTACCGAGTAGTCCAGTTATCCAGCAGATGATAAAATCAAGAAAAATGTCAACAGACGGCTATGCTGTGGATTTCATTTGGTTTACCAAACTTCCAATGGACCAGAATATGATTTACCTTAAACACAAAAGGCTCTTTGTTGTTTTCCAACACTTCAAACACATCATCTGTGTCAGGGTCGTGGTTTACTATACATCTGTTCAGCATGAATGGCTCCTGTAAAAAAATGTATACATCAGCTATAGACAACAGGGTTGTTATATTCTTACCTTAATACATAAGGCTTACCAGTCACCAATAGGTAATCAATTATATTCTCTTTTTCAACAAAATATCAATGCTAAATTTAAATAGCTGGAAAGTCTGACTCATGATATCAGGTATAACTTTATGTGACTTGTGATATCATGTGACTTGTGATATCATGTGACTTGTGATATCATGTGACCTACGATGTCATGTGACTTGTGATATCATGTGACTTGCAATATCATGTGACTTGTGCTATCATGTAACCTATGATGCCATGTGACTTGTGATATCACGTGACTTATGATACCATGTGACTTGTGATATCATGTGACCTATGATGTCATGTGACTTACCCTGACTGTCTGGTATTTGTTGTTTTTCTCCTTGAGTATCACCACAGCTGCTTGGATGACTGAAGACTTATGAGGAAACAGAAGACCTTCTTCTTCAGATCTGTGCATCTCACCCTGAAAACACAAATATACAAGATTTAAAAACTGCTCAAGTTACCAAACATCTTATGTGAAAAAGTTTGCTCAATATGTTCAACACAGAAGAAGCCTTTTATAAATCATTAGGACGGTGCCTTGTGATTGAGCTATATATCAATATAATCTGTTATTAAAGTGGTCAGAGTTGCAAAATATAAAATAAGTTGAGGTCAGAGTTGCAAAAAATAAAATAAGTTTACCTGTCCCAGGGTTAAAAGAATTCCTTGAACTGTAGTAAATTTGAGTTTGAGACGTTTCGTTGCCCAGTTGTGATCCGTTGCCATGGCCACCTGCAAACGACATGTTGTGATGTCACACACATCCTTCTTATTCCAGCCCAGAATGTCAATAGCTGCCTGTAACAAATTAAATATTCAAATCATTCTGTTAGCACATTCAAGAAAATTCAGTGGTCATTTTTTTTCCCTGTCAAAAAACACTATTTGTATTGTATACAGTTGTAATGTTGCTATATGTATAAAAATATTAACTAAAATATTCTTTACAGTTATAACAACAGATAAAAAAAAATCTGTTTTTGGATAGGTAACTGTGATGTATGCATGGCTGACTGCATATGGACAACGTTGAGTTTGAGTTATCTCCCTTGTTGCACACATTGTTACAGGTCACTACAATTTTTGAGTTATCTCCCTTGTTGCACACATTGTATCAGCAAATTGGTTGTTTTAATATGTGTTTGAAGTTGTGTCTGAGTTGAGAATACCAATAGATTACTTGTACAATGGTGTTGTGATTGACGTGATGTACTTACTCGGTTCAGTTCAGCCTTCTCCATTGATGGAGCCTGCCTCTGCAGCAGGAGGTCGGCCACCTTCTTCTTCATCTTCATGGAGCCACTACTCTTCTGAGTTTTCTGTAATATGTACAAATAACAAAACTCAAAGAAACTGATGACTTTAACAAGAGTACCGCGGGGCGGAACAAAATACGCCCGTCGAATGCCATATAGTGTTATATACTTTCTTACATTGAAATAAGATCTGCATCATTCTAAGAGTGGTTAGCTGACATGATATAAAAATGTAGGAAAAAACCTTGGACAAAAAATCAAATACTGAAATGAACAAAAGGCAATAAATTTTGCAAAAATCGTCGAATCAAAATTCTTTTAAGGGAGACACAACATCATATCATGATTATAAAGTATACCAAGTTTCAAAGAGATCCGTTGAAAAATGTAGGAGGAGATTGCCGGACAAAAATCAAATACTGAAATAAACAAAGGGCAATAACTTTTGGAAAAATCGTCGAATCAAAATTCTTTTAAGGGATACACAACTACGTCATGATTATAATGTATACCAAGTTTCAAAGAGATCCGTTGAAAAATGTAGGAGCAGATCTCCGGACAAAAATTAAATACTGAAATGAACAAAGGGCAATAACTTTTGGAAAAATTGTCGAATCAAAATTCTTTTAAAGGAGACACAACTTCATATCATGATTATATTGTATATCAAGTTTCAAATAGATCGGTCCAAAAATGTAGGAGGAAATTGCCGGACAAACAAAGTTTACGCCGGCCGGACAACGCCATACCATAATACTACCGTCAAATTTGTATAAAAACAGATGATATTTTGGTATTAATTAAATACAAAGTTGAGGAAAAACCCTTGTAATCAAGTACCAGGTATATTGTAAATTAAAACGTCAAACCACTACTGAATTAGATATACCATTACCTGTCAGGCAGGATTAATATTTGGTTGATGAATCCTTTTTTACAAATAATTCCCGATAGAAGTTTACCAATCTTCTGATGGTGGTCCCGCAGGTTAACCAGGGAAAATAATTCACGAATTAAAAGAATTGGCCAACTATTACATCACAGGACGAGCCCTGCAGTCAGTCACTGGAGTCTTCTGAAGATCAGAATCAATCTGCTTACCTCACTATATACTAGATGAGGTCTGTGTTTTTTTCTTACCCGATTCCATCACATCTTCATTCTAATTTAAAACTTACAACAATCAATCCATCTTCGATTGGAAAGTCTGACAATGCTATATATAGACTGAGCGAACAGTAAAGAAACATGGACAATAAGCTGTGGGCAAGGACTTACCGAATTGATGTGGCCGAGTATTTCCTCCAATTTTGCTTTAGCTCCAACGATGGCCGCCTTGTCTGGGGTTTCAGAAGATGTGGACTTGTGGAGACGTTCCAATAGTAATGGATACCTACAGGACAATCAACATCGTCTTTGTTTAAAAATATGTTTTTTCTTTTATTTAAAGTCTAATACTTTTTGAACTCAATTATCTAAAATATTGCAGTAACTGAACCATTTAGCATTAGATCAAAAGTCAAATACTTTATGAACTTAGCTATGTTGAAACATTTTGGTAAGTAAACTTTCAGAAAATGATTAAAAATAATGGTTGCTAAGGATTTATCTTCCATGGTTACCTCATTATTCGTTGTACTGGGAGGATGAGGAATGACTTGAGAGGCATTCGTCTCAGAGCCACATTATCATCCTGTGAGGCTTGTAAGAAGATCCGCAGCAGTTCCTTCTCTTTTTCCAGTGTTTCTAACAAATTGCCTGCATGGCTCTGAAAAAACAAAAATGAAAACAAAACTTAAATAAAAAATAATGAGCACTTTTGTGTGAAATACATGTTGTGAATAATTATCTTCTATATTTTGCATGTTTTTGTTTTTCTTTGAACTTTTCTCATTTTTTCTTCTTCTCTATTTGTAACTACTGAAATGGACTTAAATAAAAATAAGAGATATTTTGTTATGAAATTCTATTTAAACAGTCAAAATTAACGAAATTGATAGCAGAATTAACATGTAACAAAAGTTATCAACAAATCTGTAAGCTGTGTTCTTCCTTAATATCCCACACAACAGATATCTGTGGATTTCCATTTTTTGATCGTTTCACATCACCGAGACACCAAGATAAAACAAATGTCTTCGTACCAGTCGACGTAATGGCTAATACTCTCGTATAAGAAGTCTTAAAGAACGGAGAATTTTCTGATCAGGTTTGCAATAATTGAATTGAATTTCCGAACCCCCAATGTAGGTCATTGGAGGAAGCATGTCTGTCCGACTAACAGGGTCTTAATTAACCTTAAACCCCAGCATAACCAGGCCATGGTGACCTAGATGTTCTCCGATAATACTGTAATCAATAACTAGTCTTCAGACCCAAAGGAAGAGGAAAATACTTTATCTTATTAAGTATATGATCTCATTAACAAATTTTTAATCAATAATCATTTTTATTTTTATTAAACCCTAATGTACTATGAATTTACACTTAGTGAATCTGGCCGAATGTTAAAACTAAATGTTAAATCGTTAACCCTTAGGTAGCTTTAGTAGTCTCTACCATACATTTATCTGGATGAGTCCATTATAGTCTACTTAACCCTTTCACCCCTATGTAGCTTTAGTAGACTCTACCATACATTTATCTGGATGAGTCCATTATAGTCTACTTAAAAGTAAGATCAAATTTTAACATTTCAAATAGTTTTGCTATCAATTATTTCTTTTTGCTCTAAGTTCCTTCAATTTCAAGCTATCTAAAACTTTTTCCAATTAACTAAAAATGTGGTGGTGGTGGTGGTGATAGGGGGGGGGGGGATGCCTTTCTGGTCAAAGATCGTATTTACAAGATATTGTTAGAGGCAGTTAAAATCAAAACTCACCTGGTTCACACAATAGCTCTCAAATGCCATCATCAGATCTGTTGACTTCAGAAACAAGCTGCCGATGGAAACTTCCGTGAAATCCTGAAAACCCGTGAAAAACAACTTATTAGTTGCAGTTTCTCCAAAAATTATGCAAGTTTGCTCATAGAAAAACAGGAAGTTTGTCATGCTATAATTACCAAATTATTTCATTAAACGTTGTCCATTTCTATCACCGTCTGTCTATGTAAACTTACATGGTCATCATTGTTGATGGCGTCTTGGAGGGCTGCTTCCAGTCTGGCCGTAAACTGAGCGTTGGCGTTCATGAGCTGCTCCAAGTTGAGGAAGATAGCTTCAACTTGTTCTGAGCTCAGAAGTCCGTTTGTCTTCATTGGTTTGTAAAAATGCTGGAAACAAAATAAAAAGGATTGAATTTCCATATTGATACTGTAAAATGAAAAATTTGCCCAGATTCTTCTTTCAACAATACAATTCAAACTGTTCTTCAGTAAATATTTTTGGCTTTAAGTTGAATTCACCCAGTTTTTGTGGGATGAAAACAGCAAAAAACAAAATGGATAAGAAGATTCCTAACAAAATATCAATGGATGAGATTTTCAAATGAGCGTCAGAATGGCACAAGAACTGAGAAAGAATTTCTTTTTTTGAGGATGTACAAGTATTTTTTAAGTCTTTAACCTAAAAAAAAACAAAAAACAAAAACCCATCAATTTTTCTTTTTCTTTGTGGTGCTATGTTTGGTATAGTTCTCCTCAGGTAAAACAGTGTATTACAAATGTTGAATAACAAAAACAGATTATTATTCTCTTTATTTCCTCCAATTTGAAGATTTCATTTAAACAGTGGGTTTATAATTTTCAATTTTTACCTGTCAATATGCAAATTTCACTAACCCAATATAATTCACCATGATAAGTAATATCAAATATTGACAAGTCAATTGGACTAGCAGTATTTTCACTAGTTATTAGAATATAATCCTATCCTTATTGTCGAGCCCTACTGAGTGAGTATTAAATAGTTTTATTTGTGGAACAATATGGTAAACAGCTAACATAAATAGGTAACAAGCCATTCGGATTGATATGTCTCGCTTGTGCCCTACTTTGACCATCGATGTACATATCAGAGAAACTAAGTTAAACTCAAAACTTAATGTTGATGGAGATGCTGACAAAGTCAATGGACCATGAAAGAAGGTAGGCAACATCCAGCATTTGATGCATGGGTTGAGATGTACTACCTAAGACGCATCTATGGTCTAAGTTTGGTTGGTGTAACACTTATACTTTCAGTGAAACTAAGATAAACGTAAAACTTAATGTTGATGGAGATGCTGACAAAGTCAATGGACCATGAAAGGTAGACCGCATCCAGCATTTGATGCATGGGTTGAGATGTACTACCTAAGATGCATCTATGGTCTAAGTTTGGTTGGTCTAACACTTATACTTTCAGTGAAACTGAGTTTAATGCAAAAACTGAATGTTGACGCCGCCGTCACCAGAAAAGCAACACTTCAGTCTTGCTTCAGCTAATTCGTCGTGGCAAACGCAAAAACTGCATGTTGACGCCGCCGTTGCCAGAAAAGCAACACCTCAGCCTTGCTTCAGCTAATTCGTCGTGGCAAACGCAAAAACTGAATGTTGACGCCGCCGTTGCCAGAAAAGCAACACCTCAGTCTTGCTTTCGCTAATTTGTTGCGGCGAGACAAAAACAAACACAAACTTACATCCTTGAGGATATGTAAATCCCGTCCGTAGCTTTTCTCCGTGTCCCTTATTTCTATAATGATGTCTTTTCTCTCTGTTTTCTTTGCCTCCTTGTTGGCAACGGCGATCACGGACTCAGCATTTTCTTCGTCTCTCTGTTGATGGAGGAAATTTAAATAAATTCAAAAATAGAAAAAAAATGTTTGATTTATATCAGTAGATAACGGACTCAGCATTTTCTTCTTCTCTCTGTTGATTGAGGAAATTTAAATAAATTCAAAAATAGAAAAAAATAGTTTGATTTATATCAGTAGATATTTCAACCACCTCTATAAAAAAAATATGTATAAAAGTACATGTATACCAAGTACTTACCCATGCGTTATAGTTAAACACCATCTTTATAAATAGTGTAACTTCAAAGTAATTAGTGTTACTCCGGTGAATTAAAACTCCAAAGGGTACTTGTCATCCAACGCTATCACAAATTTACAAATGTTAAAAATTGTTCGTCACTCGCGGAAACTGTTAAAACCACAAATTCAGCTGTGTACACGGAACTTTCATAACGTTGTCTCTGGAGATGGTTAATTGTTCTGTGACTGATATAAACACATCAGTGTAATTCATAGCAGACAGCCACACTATTGATCTGTTTGCATTCAAAGGTCACACAATCACCTAGCTACAGGCCCTGGCAACAGGATTGGAGGCTGACAGACGTACGAGGACCAATCAGAGCAAAGCTTGACTCAGGTATTTCTAAGAGATTGCTTGTCACATTTTAATTACAGTATGGATATATATACTGTTGTGACGTCATTGGGGAGCGTTATCACTTTGATTGGTATTATAGCAGTGGAGATTCTACATATAGAGCCTTTTGTCTGCATACCATGTGCAGTCGGAGTGTCAACTCAATACCGGAAAATAGCCTAAGTAATGGGCCTGATCAGAAGTAAAACCGGAAAATATTTCGGTTAATGAGCAAACATATTAACACAGATAACATTTTTATCTCTGATCTCCGGTCATGTTTATCAAATCTTATTTGGACTCATTTTGCAGTTTTCGTTCATTTTATTCTAATATTTTTTAAAAGTTTAAGTTTACCTATATCACTTTAAAAAATCTTTTTTTTTCAAAGCATTGTTAGCTTGACTCTTTATGTCTTGTTAAATTTCATTCATTTTGAAAGTGATTTCTTTTATGGGAAAAAATGATTATATTATTTAACACTGAACTGAAAAAAAATTTCTTTATTTCTTATACATTCTGAACTCATTCACCCCTGAAGACACATTTGAACTCTTCCAAGTCAAAGGCTGGAATAGTTTATTATGAAATTTCAGGGGTGAATGGGTTGATGAGTGGAATGTTGATGATGATGATGATGATGATGATGAATTTATAAGTGACTATGAAATAATGAAGTCGGAAAAAAGAAAGAGGTGTGAATTGTCATAGTTATGAAATTAAAAATAAATAAATGATGAGTACAAACTGAGTGAAAGAGGTATGGCGAATGGAAACCCTCCTATGTTGAGGGTATTCATTGCTCGGGGATTGAACCCAGAGCCCTTCCACCCTGGCAATCCCTATCCCAACTACTGCTGAAGAATTAAAACAATTGAAAATGATGAAAAAAAAATGAAATTTTCAACGGCAAATTTTAATCCCCGTATTAAATTACAGTATATTTGTTAATGAGATGAAATAGGAAAAGGTTATCATGCCTTGAACATCCCAGTGGACTAATACTTGCAATGATTTTGTTAACGATTGCAATAAATCTATCAATCTGGTATTGAGTACTAATGAAAATGAAAGATTAATCGGTCACGTTAGCCTGGACGAGAGAACGTGTCATGTATATCCGTGGAATCGAGAGATTAATCGTACGCATTAGTGGCAATGTCAACAAAATGTAATCAATACAAAATCATGACACGAAAACATTGAAACAGGAATGAACGTGACTAAACTCAGGGAAGATAAAAATCTGCGTCATTCCTCCATATAAAAACCAAAACTCTCGTAATTACATTTCTGAGAATTTTTTCTTAAAGCTAAAAAATAATTTCCTATTGTTAAACTTTGACCCCTATGCATCTAATTGACCTCTGGACTTTTCTCATTGACTTTTTAGTGGATCTATACTTGCCAACTCTTTAAAAATTTAAGGAAAATGTATGACAAAATCTGATAGTTGGACTATTTGACTCGACAATTAATGCTTTCACCTGGAGCTCTCTCAAAATAAACTAATCCATAAAATTACCAAGGGAGATAATTTGTCGAGAGAAATGACCGATCAGGATAGATGAACAGACTAGGGAGACTCTGTCAGGAGGTAACCAAGGGAATATTACAAGGGAGGTAATCCTTCAGGGCTGATTTTTCAGTTTGGGGATATTACCAGCTGTTTTGAGATATTTGACCTTATTTCATACCTGAAATGTGGATTTCAGCTGTATGCCTGACCATGCTATTGATATATACACCACAGGTTTCATTCCAATAGTCAATATGCACCTTACTTTCCCTGTACATGTGCAGCCACTGTGAACTAACCATATCAATAGTCAATGAAAACGCAATAAAAGTTTGTAGCCCAAAGAACTCCAACAGATAAGACAAATGTTACTAAATATAGCTGTTTGTTTATGGAGGCAATTTAAAGGGAAAAAATCAATTTGTTTTTTGGTGTATAGATGAATAAACAAACTGCCATAGCAACTACTGCGTTACAACAAAATAAACACCCGAGATTTCCAGCGGTGTTGTAAAGTGGGTGACAAACAGAAGACAAAGGAAAATATTACGCAGTTAACACAATGGCATTGTATCCTGAGTTTTTTGTACAACATCTAAACAACTCTTGGTCACAAAAACACATGTGTTTAATGAGACACTATGGAAACAAGAAAATGTTTGTAAGATGTGTTGATACCCCCGACACCTGCTTCGATCATTTCTGTACTTATTTGTGCCAAAACATCGTGGGAAACCGTACAATTGACCTTACGACCTGAAAATAGTGACGCCATAAGTTAATTATATCGATCTCACTGCTGAACATTGGCTGAGGGTTAGACACCTTTCATCGGCTGGAAAGCAGATGTTGTATTTATTTACCAGATTTCTACAATTATTACAAATTTATAACCAAATAGTGTGTACAAATGTTTGCTATATATGTCGTCATGAAATTGAAATATTAGATCTCTGCTTCACACAAATTTTAGGATGACTGCCGTTTTTCAGAAAAATCTACATCTACTTTCAATTTCAGTTGTTGTATGCCAACATAAATAGTCTTTGAATGCGTTGATTTATTGCCATATTAGGAAGTAGAGAAAAAAAGGAATCTCAACACCACAAGGACGTTTTGTGTGATTTATAGGTACAAAACATCCTTGTAGCGTTGACATTCCTTTATTTCTCTGGAGGCATGGTAGGCTAGTGGTAGGACGCCGGGCTCGTGACCGAAGGGTTGCGGGTTCGCGTCACGGCATGGCACTACATTGTATCTTTGAGCAAGATACTATACCCGCTTGTTCCAGTCTACTTAGCTGTAAATAAGTATGTGGTTGTACAGTGCTAAAATTGTTGAATGCTAGCTGTTAGCGCTGAAATGGCAGCTACGGCTGTACGGTCCCCGGGGAGTTGATAAAGGTATTGGCTGGTTGCAAAGGACCTATAACCACGGATAATTATTTGTGAACTGCTTTGAGACGACCTATGAACTAGGTTGTGGTGAAGCGGTATATAAGAACCTCAAATTATTATTGTTATTATCATTATTTTAATAAGTAAGGAGCTCTATCGAATCCACTCACGGATCCACCCTAGGACACTACCGCAAAGTTCTATAGTAGGTGTGTTGGATTACCTATATTTGTTATTTAAATATAAGGAAGGTGAAAACAGTCATGGACTCAATGGAAAATAGCAGAGAAAATTGACATGGGCATAGATCAGGAGGTACACCATGGCACCAGCAGTTTCATCAACACTAACAAAACTATACAGAGTGGGATTGGTGGAGAATCTGACATGCAGACAGTGTCAGGAAGCAGAAGTATCCTTTCTCCAGTAACACTGACACTGGTATGGTTAACACAACCAGGCTTAGTGGTTAACACAACCAGGCTTAGTGGTCAACACAACCAGGCTTAGTGGTCAACACAACCAGGCTTAGTGGTCAACACAGCCAGGCTTAGTGGTTAACACAACCAGGCTTAGTGGTTAACACAACCAGGCTTAGTGGTCAACACAGCCAGGCTTAGTGGTTAACACAACCAGGCTTAGTGGTTTACACAACCAGGCTTAGTGGTCAACACAACCAGGCTTAGTGGTTTACACAATCAGGCTTAGTGGTTAACACAATCAGGCTTAGTGGTAAATACAACCAGGCTTAGTGGTTAACACAATCAGGCTTAGTGGTTAACACAATCAGGCTTAGTGGTAAATACAACCAGGCTTAGTGGTTAACACAATCAGGCTTAGTGGTTAACACAATCAGGCTTAGTGGTAAATACAACCAGGCTTAGTGGTTAACACAATCAGGCTTAGTGGTTAACACAACCAGGCTTAGTGGTTAACACAATCAGGCTTAGTGGTTAACACAACCAGGCTTAGTGGTTAACACAACCAGGCTTAGTGGTTAACACAATCAGGCTTAGTGGTTAACACAACCAGGCTTAGTGGTTAACACAACCAGGCTTAGTGGTTAACACAACCAGGCTTAGTGGTTAACACAACCAGGCTTAGTGGTTAACACAACCAGGCTTAGTGGTTAACACAACCAGGCTTAGTGGTTAACACAACCAGGCTTAGTGGTTAACACAACCAGGCTTAGTGGTTAACACAACCAGGCTTAGTGGTTAACACAACCAGGCTTAGTGGTTAACACAACCAGGCTTAGTGGTTAACACAACCAGGCTTAGTGGTTAACACAACCAGGCTTAGTGGTTAACACAACCAGGCTTAGTGGTTAACACAACCAGGCTTAGTGGTTAACACAACCAGGCTTAGTGGTTAACACAACCAGGCTTAGTGGTTAACACAACCAGGCTTAGTGGTTAACACAACCAGGCTTAGTGGTTAACACAACCAGGCTTAGTGGTTAACACAACCAGGCTTAGTGGTT